AGACAAATATTTTCTTATATATGTAATAAGGTGCATTACCCACCTTTAGGAAGCTCTTTTTTCCCTTATCTTGTTCTTTCTTTGAAAATATTTGGACCTTGGATTTATTGTGTATGTAATTGTTGTTCTTCACCATAGGACCACATGGAAATGGTGAAATTGTGAAGACCATGCAATGTTTTTGCCTTAAAGGTTCTTGATATCAACCTATAGGGTACTATGTCATGAGAATAGGTTGTGCGTTTGATTGTTCCTTTGCTTTTCAGGGAGAAGCTAAGCTGCTTTTTTCCTTCTGCAGGTACAATGCTGTAATGCAGAGCTGGCAGCTTGCCTTTAGTTGGGAGCACGTTTTGGACTTTCAGGTGCGAGATGTTCGGGCTCGAGTGCTGACAGACATGGCCTGGGTTACCATGAAAACATACCTTGATGTGGGCGGGGCATTCCATGTCACTAATGTCTTTGAGTTTCACAATGGACGGTGGTACATGGTGCATCACCACAACTCTGTGATTGATGGAGTAGAGCAACCGGTTGCCCATGGGTAAAAGAATAGAAGAAAAATTATTACTGATGATGGTTTAGTACTAATTAGCAAAAAAGAAAAAGTAGTGGTATTATCAGTGGAAGCAAGTTGCTTGAAAATTCTCTAAGAATTCCCTGAAGATCCTTAGTTTCTCAGCCTCAGTTTTGGTTCTTTTGTCTTTAAGGAGAGCGTCTTTTTCTCTTTCGCTTTATATTCTTTGCTTCAAATTTTTCTTAGGGTCCTTGAAAGGTCTGTTTCCTTCTACTATCATTTTTTGCCACATGGATATGTACATGTGATCGGAAGGGTGAAAAGTCTATAGTAGTTTCAGAAGTGTAAAGTGGGCTGACAGCCAAAATACCCAAAAAAGAAGCCCTAGAATATGCTGGATCCAAAGTAGTGAGATAGAGTGAAATTTGGGTTAAAATGAATTCTGTGTATAAGCAATACATTTCAAATCCTCCTCTTTCTCCAGAATTGCTTTATGGTCTGCAAGCCTGAATCATTCCTTATGGATTCTGAACATGGAAGTTGATAATAAGATGAATCTATTTTCGGGTTAAATGAAGATAAGGATGAATGCTCCTACACGGTGTTCTTGATTTCCACAGATAACTTTGAGTGAATGGTGAAGATATTAAAATGTTCTCCGTTCTTGAAGTACGTTAAAATGGTGTTTAGTCCTTATAGCTTCGGTTGCCTTCATGAGTGGATACCCCAAGGTCGTCAGTAAGAGACTGGTGAGGTTATAGGGTTGAACCTTTGGTTGGTTTGCTTAATTTTTTTTTTTTATTAGATACAGTGAAACAAATTTATATATAAAACGGTACAAATCAACAGAAGGGGTTCGGTTCATTTTGGTTGAATCCGATAAATAGTTCTATATCACTGAATTATATGATTTATTATTAATATATGATATGTAACCATTAATTTAATATTAAATCAGGTTTCTAATAGGTTTTCCTTCAAAGTTTAGCAATCAAGCTTGAAGGGATTGAAATTGATAAAAATAAAAGAACCCACAAAGCGCGGCTGGTTCCATGGTCTAGTGGTCAGGACATTGGACTCTGAATCCAGTAACCCGAGTTCAAATCTCGGTGGAACCTCTTCTTCTTCTTTTCTTAATTTTTGGTTCATTTTAATCTTAATATATTGAACATATAACAAAATAACAACTATCTGAAAAAAACAAAACAGTAGTTATATTTATAGGGTATGATTTTTCTTTTCCTTTTTTTTTTTTTTAATAAAAAAACATTTCTGCTGGTGGCAAGGTCCATTGTTCAGATGGCTGGCTTCGAGATAGATGTATGGCCCAAATCGATGAGCCTTCCAGAGTGAAGGTTTGATAAGTGGTTGGTATCCGCTTCTTCGTCTGTTGTATCTAGTTGCTGAAGAAGAAGAAAAGGAGGGAGTCGGAGGCATGGCAAATGCCCTTGTCTCTTTTCCACTTCCAACTCAATCCCCAATCTGTTGTCGCTCTTGCAGTAGTTCATGGTTCTGTTCTCCATTAACTCCTAGTAAATACCCATCAAAGTCCTTTCTCGCTTTCTCCTCCTCTTCCTCTTCTCCTTCTTCAACTTCTATTGTCGAAGATGACCCTCCTCCTCCAAATCCAGTCACTACACTTTCAGAATCTGCCACGAACGACTTGGACGACCTTCCTTTTAGGTACCTTCATTTTCTATCTTCTATTTCTGGCTAGAAATTCTAGCAATCTCTGTTTTTGAACTTGAACATCGCCGTTAGTTTTCTCTCTTGCACTTCTTTTTTGGCACTTCTACTGTCCATTGTTTGGTTACTGAGTAATTGGTGGGTGCTTTGTTTACCACGAGATATAAGTTAGCAGTAAGCTGAATTATGCCTTTTTTTTTTTTTTTGTCTAAGATAAGCAATGTTGGTTTACGAATATTAATTTACATTTGTGTGGCAAATTCTAGTTTATATCGGAGAATGGAGAGAGAAACACGGTAGCAAAGCCTCTCATTTTAATTTTCAAAATCATTATCAAGAAAACGTGCTTCTTTTTTAGCCATAATTTGCAGAGAACACATTAGATTATAATCTTTTACGTAACAGATACTTTGGTGGCGCCATGAACAAACAGTCAACATGATTTGAGAGTCCAGTTGATTGATTCGTTTGTCAATAGACGTGATGACCCAGGGTTTGCACAAAACTTAGTGGTTTATGTCAAAATTTCGTAACATAAATACATATCTAATAAGTGCTAAAAAAAAGTGACTATTCAATCTTGTAGCTGCTGAGCATATGCATTTTTTGCGCAGGGGCTGTAAGACCTGTGGGAGAGAGGAATTGGAGAGGGGATGCAATGGAGAGGGTAGAATTCAAGGAGGGATTGCAACAGTGCCAGGCTTTGGTTGGTGGCCGATAAAGGCTTACAGGCCTTGCCCTGGATTCGTAGCATCTGGTGGTAGATATAGGCGACGTGGGCAGAGCATGGATGAGGTTGCTTTTGGAAGGGGGGAGAAAACAACTTCTATACAGACTAGTGATGAAGATTCTAGGTAAATTTTCATCTTAATAAATCGAAATATCTTTTTATTTCTTTTTTGATTCATAATGCAGGAGTTAAGTACTCATATACACTCATTAATGATTTGAATCCTTTACACTCACAATGTTGAAAATTTTAAATTAAACTTCTTGTGAGAAATCGAGAATCCCAGCCAACAGATTCACTGCCAGGATAGCTTGTGTGCTTCCTCTTGCAAGGAACTAAATGTGGAAAGTAATATTCCAAAGTTCGTTCAACCTGGTAACTTAATATTCTTGAACATACAGTAATTTATGTGCCCAGTGTGAAATTATATCCTTTTGCGCTGAAGGGCTTTTAACGCAGACTTTGTGGCTCGTTGCAAGCTCTTCACTCAGTTTTATTTAGTTATCTTTCAACATAAATTCTCTCCTTTTCCCCTTTTCCCCTTTTCCTTCTACTCCTAAAAGTTCTTGTCCAGCTCCTCAAGAAAAAAAGATTTTGGTTTATTATCAGTTGAATATTGAATGATAATGCCTTTTGATTCTGATGCCTGAACATAATTATTGATTCCGCTATGAAGCTAATGAAGTAAGTCGTTCTGGTATTTACCGTCCTGCCATTTCATGAGTTAGCTAATTAAGCCGTGGAACATTTAAATGGATGGGCATGCAGTAATGATTTCTTTAGAGTATATATTACATACTGCTGTTGACTATCTATTCAGTGTCCTAAGCTAACAGTGTTGATATCTAGAAACTGTTTGGCAGAGACTCCTTGGCTATGATCTTTTTTTTTCTGTTAAATGACCAACTGGAGGGAGAATTAGAATCTCTAAATGTGTGTTACACTGATATAATTTCTTTCCCTCTTGCTTTTAGTTAATTACACAGTCAATTTAGCCTATTTTACGAAAGATAGGCTTAAAAAGGTAAATGATATGAACCTCATAATACCGTTTTGAATCTTGCAGCAAGAAGAAGCAAGGTCCGAGGAAATTTAAGAGGTAATCTTCGTGTCGTTCGGAAGGATTCATCAACTGAGCAGCCATTGCTATTGCAGTAGCAGCTCATGGGTCTTCGCATGTAATACTTACTCTCTCTCTCTCTCAACACAAGAAAAACAGGAAGTGTGTTCTAAACGTGGATGTTAATATTATAATTCTACATGTTTTTGGGCATATTACGCGTCCTCCTAGAATGGGATGGAGAAACTGTGGATGCTTGTTCTAGTTGAAGAGGGAATTTCCTTGTACAATAGGTAAAACTGATTGCGAACACGATGTACAATCGCAATCTTAATTGCAATTGTATTGATCGATTCAAAGTTCTATGAAATTATTCTATCAACACCAAATACATATATAATACTGTGATTTCCTGCTCTTCAGACATTTAGCATTGCTTATACAAATGGCACAGGGCACAGACTAATTGCTGGTGTCTTTATAAATAAAAAAACTGTGACAAATACTAGTTTTTTTTTTTACCAATTGCTCTTACAATTTTAAGATGGTAGAAAATAATCTACCCTATTGTATTCTTTAATTCATTAATTATATTTTAGTACCTTGTTAATTATCCCAATATATTATTTATATACTCTAATAATTTGACACTCTCACTAATGATGATGATCGAGAGGTAAGAGGTTGAATTAGTATTTCATATGTATATAAATTAAAGATAAAAAAACACAAGTATCTCTTTATTTTTAAGTTGGTTTATAAAATTTCTGAAAAAACATAAGTAAGCCAGAAGAAATTGTTCAACCCACCAGTTATGGTGGGTTGAATGAAGTCGCTTAGGATTTACCAATGTAAAAAACACAGAGGGTAAATAGTTTTTTTTTTTTTTTTTTAATAAAAAAAAGAAAAAGTAACTCCATTATTTACCGTGCTCTCTCCCTCCCTATATTCCAGCTTTTAAACCCGTCTCCTCCCCTAAACAGATCCTCTGCCCAAAATCAATTTTCGCCTATTTCTCTACCTGGTTGAGAGCCGGAGGTGTTTCATCTTCTGTTGAATTTTCTTTCTCTTCAAATTTCTCAGGGAAAAAGGAAAGAAGAAACGAAACAATGGAGGCAGAAATCAAAGAGAAGATAGAGATTACCGTTCGCGAAATCCTGCAGGAATCGGACATTAACGTAATTACAGAGTCCAAAGTCCGAAAGTTGGCATCGGAGAAGCTTGACCTTAACCTCTCCGATCCCAAGTACAAAGCTCACGTGAAGCTTGTTATCAATTCCTTCATAGAAGAACAGAACAGTAGAGAAGAAGAACAAGAAGAAGAAGAAGAACAGCAGCAGGAAGGAGAAGACGAAGAAGGAGAAGAAGAAGTATCTAAAAATGGAAGTAGAGAGTACGACGACGAGGGTAATCCCATCATATGTCGGGTTTGTGTCTGTTCTTTACGATTTTATTTTGAGTCTTCACATTTCGCGTTTCAGGGTTCTTACCGTTTGGATAGTTAGTAAAGGGGGCTCAACTTTCTTTCTTTCTTTCTTTCCTGTTCTCTCTTCATTTTCTGTTACTTTCGCAGCCTAACTGAGTGAGGATTTATTTGATATATGCTCTTTTTTTTTTTTTTTTAACTCAGTTGTCTGACAAGAGAAAGGTGACTGTTCAAGAATTCAGAGGCAAGCGTTTGGTTTCCATCAGGGAGTATTATAACAAAGATGGCAAAGAGCTTCCTTCTTCTAAAGGTAAACATATTAGTTGATGGCTTTGATTTTAGGGTTTTATACTACTGACTAAGTCTCTTTAGTTTTCTTGTCTACTTTTAAGCTTCAAATCCACGTCTGGCAAATGCATTTTATGAGTGAACTACTAGTACTGAAAGAATAACGTTTAAATATGGTCTGGAAAGCGTGGGAAATGAAAGAGGATAATAATCGTTTCCCCAGTTAATAGTTCTTGTCATTGTGTTAGGAAATGTTGGTGGTCCTGGATTATTGGCTAATCAGCAACTGATAACTTGAGATTCTATATATAAGTTGTCCCTCTTTCATTTGTTTCATAGGTTTTAGCCTGAGCATTGAGTATATTCTTGAACCTAAATCAAGTATTTTGGGCTCCTGAAACATTGGTGGTGTGTAATGGCTTGGCTCAATAAGCAGAGATGTACGCCACATGAGCAGGATGTCTACTCTGTATTTTACTGCTTTCAGTGGATTTTGGTCCTAAATTGTTTTTGGCAGACAGGGGTAGAGTACTTCATACTGCAGGAATAATAGTTGGATGAATAACCTCAAATTCCCTGGAGTGTGTTTTGTCTCCCAGTTGTGCTCCTTCTTCTATCTCAGTAGAAGTATGTCTATATCGTGTATAATGACTGGGGTCATTCCATGATATGAGCTGGAGGATCTTGGTAATGTTTCAGTTTGTTTCAAATTGTTCTTTCACCAAGGCTAGTTTTACTTGAGCCAGTTCTCAGATTAAACTTGCAGCTTTTGGATGCTAGTTATCTAAGGTATGCATACTGATATGCATACTGATATCTAGCTTCTGTCTAGTCTTGAGGTAAAGTCAAAATCATGGTATAAATAGCATCGTTTGTTTTTAACCCGGCTATGCTGAGATGCTGAAGAAAATAGGTAAATGCCATGCTAATTGAGGTTGTGTTCTTTTGTTGATAATAATAAAGGTTTTAGAGTTCATTGTGGGTGGATAAGGTAGAGTGAAAGATGTAATTAAGTTCTTGGTTTATACTGATTTCAAAAGTATGCTTGTGTTCTTTTAATAGATTCTTATTTGGTTGCAGATGCAATAGCCTGTAGATTAACTTCTATAGTGATGTTGTATCCTCAGGAATAAGCTTGACTCTGGAGCAATGGTTGGCTTTGAAGGAGAATATTCCAGCCATTCAGGAGGCTATTAAGAAGATGAAATCATAGGTCTGACACCATCATCTGGAGACTGAAGGTTTTTGAAGCCTTGGGATGTGTTTTTTATCCCAATCCAACTTGATGGCTGTAATTAGCACCTATACGTTTCCTTTTGGGTTTCCTAGTTGAAAGATTTTATGACTTCAAACTGCGTGGATGTTTTTGAGTGATTTTGGGTGTAGACTGTGGGAATAACCTGTTAAAGTGGTGTTGTGGATTTTCTTTATCAATGGAGTTTTACATCAAGACACTTATGGACTGCCTGATCAATGAAGCATGGTTTTGTACACAGTTTGTTACCTGCCCTGTTCAATCTTCTGCATAAAAACCGGAATTGAGACTTCTTGCTAAGAATCCAACATATTCATACTAAACTCTCCTGCATTAGCAGGATCTTAATTTCAGAATTTGGATCATTAAAGCAGTCTTCCAACTAGTTTCTAGCCATTTATATATATATATATATATATATATGTATGTATATAGTGGCTTTTTCACTGTTCCACTGAATCCACTTTGCCTTTTCTATTTGAGAGAGGAAATGAAATTGCTCTTTTGTTAGCCTGGTATTCCAACTGAATATGGATATTGTGGATGTAGGGAATTTTTTTGTGAGCATTTACACATTTCTGTAGACATGATATTCACATCTCAAAATAACATGAAAGATGTAATATATATATATATACTCAGCAAAGGGGAAAGAGACATGATACAAACAACTGAATCAGTTAACTTAGGTTAAAACTAAAGAGTAGTACAGGAGGGAGAAAGTTATTCCCTTGATATAGTTCATAGACTCCGACCAGAAAAGAAAAAGAAGAAAAGAAGAAAAAGAAGAAAAGAAGAAAAAAAAAAAGAGCAGAGAAGCAGTAATGAAATTATTCAAAATCAAGGGTAATAGAGGCAAGATGCCTTGGTTCGCTTAGGGTTGGAAGTAGCAGTTGCTGCTGCCGCCATCCTCATTTTCTCTATCAATGCCTCTGTATTCCCTTCCTCCGCTAATATCTCCTCCAACTGTTTAGTATTGATCATCAGCTTCACTTTCCAAACTCCCTTCTTTTGTGAGGGCAATACTCGAATTCCTTCTCCATTCGCCAATTTCTCCACCAACGGCACTCTTCGTTCTTCGCCTTGCTTCACACTCTTTCCTTTTTCACTCTCAGCCAACGCCTCTAGCGGAAGCAGATAATAAAATTGGTCATTAACTAGACGTTCTTCGCTTGACACCGGAGATGATGCATGGCCTTGTTTGAAAATACCGTATCCTGGATACTCATCAACCACATCTTTAGCCAATCTAGGTGTGTTTAGCACTACAATATCCCCTGAATCTGTAAGAAGCCGGATGCAGAACTTAGGTCCTACCCCAGTACTTGCCCCTTTGAAGGAACAATTACCCATTGAAGAAAATGAAGAGAAACTGTAATCAAAGCTGGTATTTAAGGTGAGTAATCAGTGGAGGGATGGTGGGGGAGGTGATGTCAGTTTTGAAAAAGTTTAATCGGCGCCATGTGAGAATAGACCGTTGCTAATATATTTTAACCAGAAACTAGAGGTTGATTCTCTTGTCAGAGGATTAAAAAATGGAAGTTAGAAAGAAGAAGGAATAAAGAAGCAAAAGGGTTTTGAAATTTTGGGTTAGGGCTGGTTAATGTTAGGGACAAAGTAGGTTGTTTGTATTGTGAATTTTGTTGAGAGGTGGAGAGAAAAATGACAAAAGATGTTCATGTTCATTTTGTCGCCAGGATGAGAGTGGATTTAATTTATTATATCCAGTTGATGGGTGGTTCAGTGTATCTGCAAGAAGGTAGACTGTGTAAGGTACGAGTGAAAATGGTAAATATTATCCTCCATCGAGAATTAAACTGCAAATTTTATAATATTAATGTCATGTTTAGATTAAATGAAATTTGTTCTTAAAATTTATACTTGAATATAGTTAAAATTTATTCTAAAATGAAAATAAATAAATAAATAATATCAAAATCTTAAAAAATGTTGAAGTGAAAGTAGAAAATTATGTTTTAAGTTCCCTAAATTAATAAAATTTTAAATTAATTGTTTCATTTTTTGCATATTTAGAGTAAAATTTCAAAGATAATGCGTGCTATATAAAATTTATTTAAATTAAAAAAAATCATAATTACATAAATTTTTTCCTTAATTCTATCAATCTGGCGGGTTATACAAGTTGCATAATAGATAGGGGAACTAATTAAATTAGTGTTTGAATTAACAATTATTAAGTTTTATTATTTTTACTATAATTTTTTGAATTTTTAAAATTATTTCAAAATTTCATTTTTAACGATTTTGTAAATATTAAAAATTCTCATATCCTCATTAAATATTATATAAAAAAATGATTTAGAAAAATATAATATTTTTAAAAAAACAAAAAAAATCTAAAAAATGATTATTGTACATGCCATTTTTCTTTCTTATTAAATTTATTATAATAATTCACATTCATTAAATAAAATAAAATTAAAATACTTGATTGGGTCCTATACTATTTGAAAATGTTCAACACTACCTTTTATATTTTTATCAACTCAATTCTATACTTTGAAAAAGATTCAATAATCCTCTTGTTTTAATCCCTATTAACGTTGTCCGTCATATTTACACGTGACAAACAACATGACGCTATCATTATTATTTTTTCTATTAGACACAACATTAATCCCACATGACATCTATGTGGTGTGATTAAAAAAATCTTAGGCTTCCGTTATGTTTTCTTACTAGATACCATTAGAATAGTTTAGATTTTTTTTATTATAGTCAATTTTAAAGAATTAAGAACTTTCTAAATATAAACTATAGCATAACTAAAAACTTTCAAATGTAATAAATTTTAAAGAATTTTAAAAAATAAATTATTTAGTAAAACTGTACGAATATAATAATCGTATTTTATAACTTAAATTCATGACGACTAATTTTTAAATGTTTGTACTTTTTAAATTAGAGATCGACCAAATATAGTCAATTTAGGCTTCAATTGGAATAGTTTAGATGTAAAGAACCGAAACTTAAGTAGAAATTAAGTCATAAATTAAATGCAGAAGTGAATAATATAATTAGTTAGAGTTTATATTATTTACACAATAGTTTAAAATAGCTAATAGGACTATGAGAATCTCTTTTTTAAAAGATAAATGGTAATTAAAGCAAAACGAATAAATAAATATCTTAAAATCACTTTCACTAGTACTTAAAGAAAGTCTGAGTGGTAGACTACTCACAACTCTCTTTCTGATCGGGATTTGAATCTTGGCCCTTGTGATCTGAAATAGTTAATAAAAGAGTGAGCTACATTATCCCAATAAGAATATCACACTAATCACATATACGGAAAACTGAAGATTGGTAAAAATTAGAAACAAAAAAACAACTAATGAAGCCTTCAATTTAATGTAAATTTATTTAATATAAAGAAAGCCATTTATTTCACATTTACGTAACAAGTTTTTCCAAAAATAATCTATAAATATTCATATTCATACACTTTTTATTTTCACATATAAGATAATAAGAGACTATCACTTTCTATTTTTACCCGCTTACCAGTACTCCTAGGGGTTTGTAGGAATGTTCTCCTTACTCATGAACTCAATATTCATTTAAACAATTAACCGGTCGTCCCCATACTCCGTCCGGTAATGGACGCTAGATATTTCACCATATCGATACCCCATCTGGTATGAGAGTATACCATATCTCTCAAACCTTACTGATAAAGGACTTTCCAGTCCCGTCCGATTGAGGTAATGTTCAAGTTAGGGTTTTCTATGTACCGGGCCCACCTGCCCTTTCCTAGGTACCCAGTAAATCTTTCACATATAAATTTTCATCAAAATAACATCAACCACGCAATACCAATAGCTTATTTTATATTCACATATCACTTAAAGTACATTCATGTTGATAGTATATAGTCGAATAAATCAGATAAATCGATAAGACTATAGAAAATATAAATTTAAAACATGCACCATATAATAACAAACCAATAGAGCAGTATAAGAAAATAAACAAAAAATCAGAATAATCGTGAACTAACCAGTTTCGTCTCCACTAGTGACCTGTAATTATTTTCAGAGTTCTCTAATTTTTTATAAAAACACACAATTATCGATTATTAAGTCTCAATTTGCCGTAACAAAGAATAAGGTGAGAGATCCTTACCCGGATCGGTGTTTCAGAACGTTGTGCTGTCTACTACACTTCTTAACGGGTACCAAGTTTCCTGAATTTTTCTTATAGAATCCAAAACACTTGTCACATACGTAAAAATACTATAGGAAATTAAAACTAGTGTCCAAAACTCATTCCGACCAATAAGGGTTCCGGCACAACGGC